TTTATAGAGTAGAGGAGAGAGGAAAAATGAAGAAACAATTGTTTTAGATATTTTAATTTTACTTTTTTTAAATGTTTTTTTGACAATTCATACCGTGACATCTGTTGCCACATATATCCTTTCTGTTGGGGTACATGCAAATAATTCTATAGTTTTTTACGACAAAGGTTATCTACGTCGCCACATGCACTACATTGGTAACAATGAAATGTTGTCACATATTTCCTTTCTGTGACATATGTTATCACATATTTTCTTTATGTGACATATGTTACCACATATCTTCTTTCTTGTGACATATGTTGCTACATATATCCTTTTTGTTGGGACATATATGGATAATTTTGTGGTATTTTTGTATATTTTGTACTTCCATCATAATTGACATTTGCCAACAAAATAATAACAATAACAATAACCAATAATCAATAATCAATAACCAATAACCAATAACAACAACAAGAATAACAACAAGAACAATAACAATAAAAATAACAATAACAATAACAATAAGAACAAGAACAACAACAAGAACAAGAACAACAATAACAATAACAATAACAATAACAATAATAATAACAATAGTATTAAGTAATAATATTTTCCGCAAAAATGAACAATTGGTAATTATATAAGATTGTCACATATCTGTGACATATATTACAACACATATTCTTTGTGTGACATAAGTTGCCACATATATCATTTCTGTTGGGGCACATGCAGATTATTCTGTGGTATTTTTTCTCAACATAGGCTATATATGTTGCCATATACACCACGTTTCTTCTTTTCCATCATAATTGACATTTGTTCCAACAAAAAAAAATCATCGATATTATCAGCAAAAATAAACACTCACAAATTGTTTTATACAACTTATCAACAGAAAAGGTAATTTAAAATGGTATACATAACCATCAATCTAATCAATGGTGGATACTGTTGCTTCACATCACAATTGATGACTTCGACTTTTTTCTTTTTCTTTTTCACTTTCTCCTTTTCCATCTCATTCTCCTTCTCTAGGTCCTTCCTCGTGTCCTTCTTATTCTCCTTTCTTTTTGGGTTTCAGTGTGATACAGAATAGTAGACAGTGTTTTTTTCCCACTATAGATAGTGATTGAGAAATAGATTTTTTCAACCTCATACAGTTCAAATATGTTTTTAGAAAACTGAACAAGATTATATTTCTTAAATCATATGAACAAAATTGTCACAAAAAGAACAACAAAAGCAACAAAAAATAAATTTTCACTAAATGTTAACAATACATATACATTTTCTCAAAATTAGGGCTTTTTGGGTTTGTTAATTTTCTTTCTAAAATAATAAATAATATGTACCATTACACTATTATTTATTTTTCACATCTGTAGAACAATTTATTCTTCATTAACCCAAGAAAAAAGCTTAGTATTGTTTCAAAATTGTAAAATCTCTAAAAAAATGACTTACCCATTTTAAGTCGACACAATCTTCAGTTTAGAAAGAGGATAGAGTCACGACCGGAGATGAGGAGTGAGATTAGATAATGGGGGAGAATATTTGTTTTGATAGTCGGATTTTCTAATTTTCTAAGGAGGAGGAATAAGAGAAGAGAGAACATTGAGAGAAGAAGAAGAACAATCTTATTTTCATTTATTTATTTTTATAAAAAAATGGTCTGGATATAATTATAAAAGCTGAAAAATGAAGTGCTTTTTTATATTTTATAAAATATTGAAAGTTTTGAAAATTTTAGTTTATTTCAAAATTTACTTAATTACATTTTAAAGAGGATTTGACCAGCTCTTGGTCAATCTATCACCAAAAATCATACCAAGACTTATTTGACACCTTTCATTTAATTTTCTTAGGAGACACAATATATCAATTGAGTAGTTTGAATTTGATTGATCGGAGAGAGAATCCTTTTGAAAATAAAATTGATATGAAAATTCTAATTGATAAAATTGTAGAGAATCCTTTTGAAAATCAAATTGATATGAAAATTGTAACTGATAAGATTGTAGAGTGAAATTAAGGAGAGAATAAAGGAGTAAGAAAAAGAAAGGAAATCATGTGTTAAGGTTGGAATACTTATATATTCATTTGACTTGAAAATTGAAAAAAAAAGGATTTCGAAAATATTTCAAATGATAGGGAATGATTAAAATTATGAAAAATGAAGATGTGTATATAAGTATTTTTTCCTTTAATTTAACAAGTGACGTATAAATAGCCCGACATAACAAATGGAAAATCATACCTTTCTCGACCTTTCAACTTAGGTTATGTGTAGTATTTGTTCTTATCAGTTTAATATATGATATGTGAGTCATCGACTCACACGATATAAACTCTGTTTTTCGAGGGGGATGGTCCATCATGGTAGCTTGACTCACACGATATTAACTCTATTTTTTAGGGGGAAGGCCCACCAAGTAGCTTGCTATTGGGGCGTTCATGGCACTCAAATAATGCACCAGCCAGGTTTCAAACCCGTTTCTATACACGTCGTAGGGTACTATTCTACCACTAGATCACTGGTGCTTAATGTTTTAATAATACGATTTTAGCTACATACTCGCAAAGTATCACCTCTAATGTACTCAACTCTATTTTGAGGGGATGTCCATATGGTAGCTTGCTATTGGGATTTAGGACTTTAAAGCATCGTTTGGCATTGCACTTCAGTCTTGGCTGGATGCACCCACTTAATTTAGTTGTAAAGCTTACTTTACATTCTTACTTGTAAAATTTTTGGGAACTTTAAAAGCTCATTCTCAACTTTCTCAAATCTCTAGAGGATCAAAAGATTCAATTTTTGTTATTAATCAACAAACATTGAAAGATTCATGAAAATAATTTGTGTTTCTTATTAGTTCTCAATATTTTTTCACAACAGAGGAATATGAGGGGAAGGTCCATCATTATAGTTTGCTATTAGGATCTTTAAACATCATTTAGGTGTTGCACTACTGCCTTGGCTTGGTGCACCCCACCAATTCTAATTGTAAACCTTTCTTTCAATTGTTTGTGGAAGGAGTTTCTTCAAGATCCAGAGCAAAGATATTAGAACTTAGGATTTTGGTGAAGTTATTATTAACCTTTAACATTTTTTGACCAAGATTGGTATGTTGCGGTGGAAAAAATGTTGCATCAACAAATTTAAATTTACATTTCTTGTTTTCTATCTTATTTTTTGAGTAATGAACCTTAGGTAAACTTGTTATATCCATATGACATTTATAATCCATCTATGTAATAATAGGTCTACACAAGTGGGGGAGCATCGTCACATCAACTTGAAGGTTCACGGTTCAAGTCATGTTGGAAGGTAGGTGACACTCCTATTGAATATTGATCCTCCTCGGGTGGGGTCAGAAAAATAACTTCTTTGTGAAGAGCATTTGATACTAAAAAGTCTTCTTCTCTATCATTAATGCAGCTTCATAATAGGCAATACGGCTCATGCTAGCACTCACAAAATAGCTTTTAGATCACATGCATAAATCCGTACCTTATGTGACATTCTGATTCTGTTACTGACTGCATCACCTCTTAAACATAACCTTTGTTTCTTCATAGAAGAATGTTAGATATTTAGCAAAAGTACTAACATGACAAAGTGATCTACTCTTGATTTCAGCAACACTGTTGAAACTATTTTGCAGTCAACAAAACGTAAAGACATAATACATAAATTGGACCCTAAACTTGGATTTAAATTTTAACTTTGACCTTCAACTTTCATAATGCTCAAACAGACACTCACTATCCAACTTTTAAATAAATAAACACATGAGTCCTACATGACAAAATACACGTAGGACACCACTTAGGACAAAAAATGACATGTAGGATGACATGTGTGTCTATTTGTTCAAATTTATACAAGTTTAAGTGTCTAGTTGTGCACAACAAAGTTGAAGGGCATAAATGAGGTTCGAAGCCAAGTTAAATGACATATTTATGTATTATGCCAAACATAAATTGTTTCATTCACTAATCTTTGATCAATGGAATTATAGATGATTAATGGAATTGAGTTAGTTTAATGTATAAAACAGAGAAGATGATTACTAGTTAGTATAAACCAGAGAAGATGATTACTACTCAGGTTGTGAATCCAATATAGTGATGAACTTTTCATTTCAAAAATTTTATATTCAATATGAATGGATAAAACATTCATTCGATTAATAGAAATTGATTTAATCTCACCTGAAAACATTTACTGTGTTTGTTAGTTTAAAGATAACTATATTGGCAGGAGCCGGAAGCTGTAAAAATGAGAGTCCAGTCAGTTTGAAATATCAAATCCTGACAAGAAGATAAATTTTTATCTTTTTCCAATATACAGTGAAAAGAATTGAAAGAGTAAAATATCAAACCAACAGAGCTCATCCCAGAGTTATGCATATACTATACAAAGTAGATAACAGTGTCTTCATGGAGGCTACATAGAGAAAGAGAAATGAAAACAAGTGTAGCCATTGTTTTAACATTCCGATCTTCCTGTTATAAGTTATGGTGTTATCAATAATATAGTAACAAAGGAGGATATCACCTATGACCTAACCATAAGATAGATAATAACTGCAAATAGTAATTGAACCAAAACAATTACTGCATATCAATTTATAATAGAATTTAACAGTCGAAAACTAAGCTCGTTACAATTCATAAAACCTAGGAGCTTTCCTATAACACGTAACGATTCTTTAGATTTGAAAGTAAAACTCTTGCGAATATGATTCAATAGGAAGATGAATTGCTATAGTTGGGCTTTTCACCAAAAGGGGTGCAGGTTAAGACATTTCATGAGGAAGTACTAATACAGTAAAGTTTATAAAGCTTTGTAAAGATAAATCCCATCAAATCCCAGAGTTGTCAATGCTGATAACACGACAAGAACCAATACTATCATTCAATTCAATCCCGCATCCCAATTACCCATCAAACTAAGTGGTGGTCACAACTTCGCCATCTGAAAAGCCCGATTTTCCATGCTTATGTATGGCTACACCCTCTTTGGCCATCTTGATGGAACCAGTCCGTCCCCTAGTCGTACGATTACCCTCGGCACGAATATCTCTCCCAATCTTGCCTTCTTAACTTGGTTCTGTCAGGATCAACTCATCCAGAATGCTCTCATGGATTCTGTCGAACCCACTATTGCCCCTATTGTTGCAGTCGCTGACTCGGCTAAATCAGCTTGGGATGCCTTGCATACCACTTATGCGAACAAATCTCAAACTCGAGTCTTTAGTCTGCGTGATCAGCTTGCCCGTGTCACTAAGGACTCTCGCTCCATTACTGAATATATTCATACTATTCGGTCCTTTTCGGATGAGTTAGCCACTGCTGGTGCTCCTGTTTCCAATCTTGAACTCATTGTCAAAATACTTAGTGTTCTAGGTTCTGAATTTCGTTTAATATATCTGCTGCCATTCGTGCACGCGATACGCCTATCTCCTATGAGGAACTATTTGAAAAGTTACTAGACTTTGAACTCTTCCTCCGCCACAAGGATGCTAAGAAACTATCTAGTACCATCACTGTTGCAGTTGCTAATCCTACTAAATTCAACTCCAATAATCGCAAAAACCTTATACAAACCAACAACTCTCAAAAATGGCGCCAGAACTTGCGTCCAAGCGCTCCACCACAAGGGCAATCCAGTTCAAATCTAAACGGTATTATTCGCTGTCAACTATGTAACAAAATTGGCCACATTGCCAATGTTTGCCGCTCGAGATCTCAGAATCACTTAAAGCAAAAGCCAACTATGCCGCTGGGCTTACAACGGAGACCAATCCCTGGATAGTTGACTCTGGAGCCACCCATCACATCACAACAGATCCGCACAACCTACAACCATACCACGGTAACGAAGATGTCTCCATGTGTGATAATAACAAAATTCCTATCTCTCACACTGGTTCTACTAAATTAAATGCATCAAATAATGTTTTTAAGCTAACTCACACTTTACGTGCCCCTTCCATCAAACGCAAGCTTATCTCTGTTTCTAAATTCTGTCAAGACAATCTTAAGTCTATTGAAATTTTTCCTTTTAACTTGTTGTGTAGATCTGAAAACACGGCAGTCACTGGTGCGTGGTCGGACTAACAATGGACTATATGAGTGGCCTGTCTCACATCCCCAAGCTCACATTATCTCAACATCCAGTCCTCTCACTACTTGGCACCAACGTCTTGGTCATCCTCACTCTAGAGTTCTTAGGTTTATTTTGAATAAATTCTTGCTACTGTTTCATGAGAGAGAAAAAATTTCATTGTAATTCATGTTTATCTAATAAAGCTCATCGACATCCTTTTACTCAATTATCATTGTGTAGCTCTAAACCACTTGAAATTGTTTTCAGTCACTTATGGGGGCCATCACCAGTCTTATCTTTTGATAAAAAGTTGTATTATTGTATTTTTGTTGATCAATATACGAAGTAAACTTGTCTCTACACACTAATAAAGAAAAGTGAAGTTAAAGATATCTTTCAAAAATTTCATCCTATGATGGAAAAACATTTTGACTCTAAAATTTTATCATTGTATACTGATGGCGGATGTGAGTATAAAAGTCTTGACTCCTATCTTCCACTTCACGACATTCAACACCTCTCTACCCCTCCCTATACACCCCAACGAGTTGCACTTGCAGAACGACGACATCGCCATATTGTCGAAACTGCAAGAACACTCTTACATGAGGCGTCTCTCCCATCCCAATTCTGGTCTTTTGCATGCCATCACACTGTCTACCTCATCAATCATCTTCCAACCTGTCACCTCGATAGTCAATCCCTATTCCAAAGATTACTTAGAAAATCACCTAATTATAACTCCCTACGAATTTTTGGTTGTTTATGTTATCCATGGCTAAAACCATACTCCAAAAATAAACTTGAATCAAAATCTACCCCATGTGTCTATCTTGGATTCTCACTATCCCATCACTGTCACCAGTGTTTTGACCCAATTTCTGCAAAGGTTTACTTATCTCGAGATGTGCGATTTGTTGAGGATGTTTTTCCATTTAAGACATTGTTCTCCAACATTGCCATTAAATCAACTCACCTGGAATGGCAACACCAACAATGCCAAGTTCTTCAGACCCCACACCCAAACTTCCCATAGTTACAGATCTGCCAACTCCATTAGAAATAGCAGCATGCACTATTGCAGATTTTCCATCACCATCTGCTTCCTCTCCAGCCCAGTCTGGAGACAACTTAAACTCGCAGTCCTTATCCGATAATGCATCAGCGGCAGCCGCAACAGATTCACCTCTAGCAACTCCTCCCTCTCAAGGTAAATTTTTGTCTTCCTCATCTTCAATAATTCCTGCTTCCTAGAACACCTCTTCTATATCTACTTCCCAGCATTTAGCACTACCACGCCTCCCTACAAACTCTCAAACGCCGATACCAACTAACACACAAAGCACTTGTCTCCTCTCCTTGTCTATCACCATAGAAACACCAACCCACCAACACATATGGCTCTTCAACTAGCCTGTCCTACCTTCAAGTTAGAACTCGCTCCTTCGCCACCTCAATGTCCATCTCCTCCTACCCGTGCTGTCACTCGATCCCAAAATAATATCAAAAAACCAAAAAAAGATTTTTGATTACCTAGCCAAATTGAACCCCACTGTCACACCAACTACTGTCAAATAAGCACAAAAATATCCAGAGTGGCGTTATGCAATGAAACATGAATTTGATGCTTTAATTAAAAATCAGACTTGGGAACTTGTTCCTCTTGACCCGAATAAAAACATTGTATCCTGCAAGCGACTTTTCAGGATCAAGAGAAATGTTGATGGGTACATCGACATATACAAAGCCCGCCTAGTTGCAAAAAACTTTACTCAGAGGCTAGGCGTTGACATTCATGCCACATTCTGCCCTGTCTTCAAGCCCACCACAGTTTGCATTGTCCTCTCTGTGGCACTTCGTCTTAACTGGAACCTTCGCCAGCTAGATGTAAATAATACCTTCCTCCAAGGCAACCATGAAGAGGAAGTGTACATGGCACAACCTCCGGGGTTTACTAGTGAAGACAAACCAATGCATATATGTCGTCTACGGAAGGCAATCTATGGCTTGAAACAGGATCCTCGGGCGTGGTACAATGCCCTCACAGATTATTTTTCATCCATTGGCTTTGTTAAGACAAAATCTGATGCCTCTCTACTTGTCAGACATGGTGCAGGTGATATGTTATTCGTCCTTGTCTATGTCGACGATATTATTATCAGTGGGAGCAATACTTTAAGTGTCAATTAGGTTTTCACTTCCCTTGCTTCTAAGTTCTCTATTAAAGATTTAGGTAATCTTCACTACTTTCTTGGTGTTGAAGTGATACGCAGCTCCAACGATTTAATTCTCACCCAAGCAAATTATGTGAATGAAATTTTGAATGATCAGCTAATGACCGACTGCAAGAGTGTTAACACGCCCATGAGTGCATCTGAGTTACTCACCTTGTCTGATGGAACTTACTTGACTGATGCTACACGTTACCGCCGAGTCTTGGGTAGGCTTCAATATATGTCCTTCACTAGACCTGACATAGCCTATGCAGTCAACAAGCTTTCTCAATTTATGCAAGCACCGTCAGACCATCACTGGAAGGCTGTAAAACGTGTTGTTCAATACTTGCGGGGTACCATTCAACTCGGCTTACGCGTTACTCCCATTGATGAAATCGTTGACAGAGTTTCTACATCTGGATACATCCTATTTCTTGGTCACAATCCGATTAGTTGGTAATAAAAGAAGCAAAATACTGTCTCACGCTCCTCCACTGAGTCCGAATACAGGGCAGTGGCTAATGCACTTTCTGAAACCTTATGGGTCACCAATCTCCTAAATGAGTTGCCTCTTTCCAATATATCAGCTACCCACAATTTATTGTGACAATCTTGGAGCCACATTCTTGAGCAAGAATCATGTCCTCCATAGTCGTGTTAAGCATGCTCCTGTGGACTTTCACTTTGTTCGCCACTATGTTGATATTAAAAAGGGTTCGTGTTGTTCATGTCCATGGTGCCGATCAAATTGCAGACACCCTCACCAAGGCACTTTCTAAATCTGCTTTTGAGTCTAATTTGTTCATGTTAGGCTTAGTGACTCATCGTCTAACTTGAGGGGGCATATTAGAACACCTGGTCCTAGGACGCCAGTTAGTAGTTTAGTCATATTAGGACTGTCTTACTAGTTCAGCAGTTATTATTTAATTAGACTACTTTAGTTCAGTTCGTTTAGGAGTCTTATTACTTTAGTTGTAACTCTATTTAAGAACTTGCTGCCTTCATTAATAAAAGTACATTTAGTTCATACTCCTACTCCCTTCAGGAAGTACAATCGATGGGTTAAAACCAGCAAGTGATTATGCTACAATCGCGCCGAGGTCTTATCACCATTCATGGATATAAGTAGTACAATGTTAAAGAAAGTTTACCTCCCTTCCTTTCCTACTTTCCTAAACAAATTTTACCATCATCTCATTAGAAAAGGAAAAAACCAACATAGTTCTCTGGTTAAAAGGTCAAATATTATTTAGCACAAATCTAAAAGTTCCACCAGCTTATTGTGCCCACTGTCACCTTTTTCAACTGCTCCAGCTACTGAACTCCCTGTAACCTCACCAATATCCCGCTGTGCCCAAGCCCCCTCATGAATGATCAACAGATTACAAGGAGTTCCAATAGGTATGAGAAATTGCAGACAAGGGATGAAAGTGTGTGGAGGGAAGTAAAAGCTAAAAAGTCTCAACAATTTTGTTTATTTTGGTTGACCTAGTTTCTAAAACTAAATTAGCTCATTTTAAACAACTTGAAGATTGTGTGAGCTGATCTTAACAATAGATAAATTAAACATCAAAAGATGAAAACATGGTTTAAATAGCCACAAGAATTCCATTAGCCAAGCTCCTTTCCTTTTATCAGAAGCTTGAAACGTTGTTTTTTTGGAACTTAAGTATGTTTTTGGGAGGAGAATTGGATTGGTCATGGAATGTTAAAACAAATATATCCAAACATTACAACTTATGCCTACAACATGATGTAACAGTGGTTGAATTATGGTCTGAGCAGGGACAGAGCATACCTTCAGACGGTTTCTAAATGATTTGGAATAACTCAATTATATAGTACCTTATCTCAACTTTTTTCTGTGATATGGTCTGGAATGGCAAAGGAAGAAACAATTTTTCTGTGAGAGATGCATACAGGGAACATAACTTGTCCAAGAATCAAGTGTGTTGCTGCCATGGAAGCTGGTTTGGAGAGTCCAAGATTCTGTTTCAAAGTAGCGTGATTTACATCGCTGGTGGCCATGAAGCAGTATTGACATGAGATAATTTGAAAAGAATGGGGTACCATCTATGCTCCAGATGTTACTCTAGTGGAGAAAAGACAAAGAAAACCAACCATATCTTTTTACATTGTAAGTGTCAGATTAGATAAGGAAAATCTTCATCAACCTAAGGTGAATCAGGTGGGAGATGCCAGGTAGCAGAAGAGAATTACTAAACAGTTGGAGCAGAGATGGTGTAACATCCCAGAAGTTCTAAAGTTATATGTCAGTTATTAGTATCTCCCATAGTCCAATCTTAGATGTTGCATGACCTTGTAGTCAGTTATCTCAGGTTTCAACATTTATTAGTTACACGTTTTACCACTCAGTCGTTGCATTAGTCAAAGTTATTCAGCTCAGCACTTCAGATTTATCATGTTCATTTTATAGTCTATCATGCATATCACATTCTCAGTAGATTCAAAGTACTGAGCGCATACTCT